CCGCCCCGCCGGGCCGCGCCGGGGCCCTGCCCGCCGCCGGCGACGACGTGCGCAAGAGCGGCTACCTGCGCAAGCAGAAGCACGGCCACAAGCGCTACTTCGTGCTGCGCGCCGAGAGCCACGTGGCCCCCGCCCGCCTCGAGTACTACGACAGCGAGAAGAAGTTCAAGAGCAGCCTTCGCGGCGGCGCCGCCGGGGGCGCGCAGCTCTGCTGCCCCCCGCCCAAGCGTGTCATCCCCCTCTACCAGTGCTTCACGGTGAGCCGGCGCGCCGACGCCAAGCACAAGCACATCATCGCCCTGTACACCAAGGACGAGTACTTCGCCATGCTGGCCGAGAACGAGGCGGAGCAGGAGGCCTGGTACCAAGCCATCAGCGAGCTCATGAGCCAGAGCAAGAGGGGCTTCCTGGAGCAGGAGGACCAGGCGGATCCGCAGGCGGACGAGGATGACGAGCACTATGGCGCTGCCCTGAGGCCCGGCACGGTCTTCAAAGAGGTCTGGCAGGTCAATGTGAAGCCCAAGGGCCTGGGGCAGACCAAGAACCTCACCGGCGTGTACAGGTTGTGCCTCTCCAGCAAAGCCATCCACCTCGTCAAGCTGAACTCCGAGGTGCCCTCTGTCCACTTGCAGCTGATGAATATCCGCCGCTGTGGCCATTCAGAGAATTTCTTCTTCATTGAAGTGGGCAGGTCCGCGTCCATCGGTCCTGGCGAGCTCTGGATGCAAGTGGATGATTCGGTGGTTGCCCAGAATATGCACGAGACTTTTCTGGAGACCATGAAAGCGCTCAAGGCCTTTGCAGAGTTCAGGCCCCGAAGCAAGAGCCAGTCTTCTGGTGGTGGTAGTGGTACCAATCCTATTTCTTTTATCACCACTAGGAGGCACTTGGGCAACCTGCCCCCTAGCCAGACGGGCCTGCAGAGGAGGTCTAGAACTGAGAGTGTTACTGGAGGGACTCCACCTACCACCAAAAGCAGCAGCTCCTACCGCTTCAGAACATCCAGCGAGGGAGAAGGAACCATGACCAGACCCTTCAGGTCAGTGACTGGGAGTCTGATCCATCTGAATACTGCAAGGATGAATCTGGGCCGGCAAGAAGGCAGCGGCAGGTACGTTAGGGCAGCGTTCAGCTCTTCTTATCACACCAGATCTGCTTCACTGCCAGTGTCGCATTTTCCCTCTACTACAAGTCCCATCAGTGTTTCTTCCAGTAGTGGCCATGGCTCTGCTTCGGACATGTTAACCAGGCCATCTAGCTCATCTGTTTGTGGCTCCCCAAGTGATGGGGGATTTATCTCTTCAGATGAATATGGCTCTAGCCCTGGAGATTTCAGGTACTTTCGGGTGAGGAGTAATACGCCGGATTCCTTGGGGAACACACCACCCATCAGAGAAGAGAACTGTTTGAGCGAGTACATGTCCATGAGCAAGCAGCAAGTAGATGATAGTTCAAGGGATGATTATATGGAGGCTGAAAAGTGTTTCAGGAAAAGAACTTATTCTCTAACTAAACCAACTTCTGCAGCAGTGCAGCAGAAAACAACACAGACGACTGCTTCATTAGATGAGGATTCTGCAGGAAATCATGGGCGATTACTCTACTCTGAATCACCAAAACTGAAAGATAACCATGAATCCGACTACAGTGATGCTAACCTTGATTCCATATGTAACCAAAGCAGGAGTAAAGCCAGGGATGATGGCTATATGCCAATGATGCCCGGAGTTGCATCTTCTCTATCAAGTAACAATGATTATTTGCCAATGTCTGCCAAAAGTGTGTCTGTTCCAAAACAGATCAACAGTTCGTGGTCACCATCTCAGGTTGACTCCAGAGGATATATGATGATGTTTCCAAAGGCTAGCTCTTCACCTGTCCGAAGTCCTTTAACTGGATTTGTATCTAAAGGAAGTAATGAGAAGATTATAAACAATGAGTATATGGATATGTCACCAGGTAATTCAGCTCCAAAGCACCCTGGTGATTCAAATTATATTCATACTACTTCTGTTTCCAAAGGTTTCAGTTCATATTTTTCTTTGCCTCGAAGCTTTAAGGCATTATCAGGACAGAATGGTGACCATAGTGAATATGTCCCAATGTCTTCACCCGGAAAACTTTTATATGGTGGACCAGAAAATGTAAAAGGTGTCAGCAGTGAAGCTCTGGCTAATGGCATCTCCAAATTGCCCGTTGTGAAAGGTTCAGATGAAGGACTTGCGCAGAACAGGGCTACTCGGCCTACAAGACTCCCCCTAGGTACGAGAGGCAGTAATACTATCCCGAGAATGTATGATCGTACGGTTCCACCTGAGCCAGCTAGTCCTGGGGAATATATAAATATTGATTTTAATGAAAAAGCGAGTAACACACCGTATTCCTTATCTGCAGAGGGATCACCGTCATCTCTAGGCTCAAGCAGTGACCACAGACAGTCCCCACTTTCTGATTATATGAGTGTTGATTTGGATGTACAGTCACCAAAAGCAGCAAAGGAACTGTCTAACTCCTTAACAGATATTACAATTTATGCAAGTTCCAGTATTCCTAGAAACCAGCCGAATGCTGACTACGCTAGACTTTCCTTTGGTACCGCTTGCGTTAGTGCTGCCAGTAGCAGGACTGATGATTACACAGATATGACGTTCAACATGGCAACAACACCGCCGCGGCCGTTTGCCTCCGAAGCTGACAACGGTGTGAAGATTGACAGTCCTTCTTCCATAGTTAATAGACTGTGCATCGTTGATCGATACGCTGGTAGCAGTAGCTTCTCTGTTCCCAGCTCCGAACCTCCCATGGGACCGAAAGTGATTCGAGCTGATCCTCAAGGCAGAAGGAGGCACAGTTCTGAAACGTTCTCCTCTGCCGGGACTGTGACTACTTCCTCCTCTTTCTTTACCGATAGTAGCAAAAGACACAGCTCTGCCTCATTTGACAATGTTTGGTTGAAACCAGATGAAAACATTTCTGATGGTCAGGAAAGCAAAATGTCCAGGGATACCTCAACTGGATTTCAAAATGGCTTAAACTACATAGCCCTCAATTTACGTGACGATCCTATAAGCTGTGAGGCAAGTACTGCTACACCAACTTGCCACCTCCAAAATGGTACTTCGAGTTTGGACAGTGGAGCTTACGTAAGCATAGATTTCACCAGGTCCGACGGACTCAAATGTAACGCTGCAAGAAAAGGTTTGTTACTTTAGAAGTAGTTTCCTTTCCTGTGTGTTTAACTATAGGAATTGAATCCTCTACTTAAAATGTCTTCAAAATGGAGTAGATGTTTCTACAATCTTTATTTTTTCTAGGGTCTCTTGTCTAGTAATAGCACAGTACGCAAACCACTAGATGTAGGACATGGTC